TTGGTGCAATTAGTTTAGTAACTGGGCCACAATGACAGGCCCTTTCTTGTTAGCAGTTACAAAGACAGAATTAAGAAGACACTTTGAAATGCGGTTTGCCGCTCTGATTTAGCGAAGGTTTTCAGAAGTCTGGCGACAGCCTGCTCACGTAAACTGAAGGATTCCCAACTGTCCTCTCAATCACAAATAAACAGCAAATCCCTCACACAGCATCTCTGAGCGCTGCTTCAAAAGCAAGAGACAAGCTCTGAGTTGCAAAGATGATTCAGAGTAGTGGGGGAAGGAATGTACATTCCATTTTGCAAAACATTTGGTCCACTAAGCCCTCTATTACCCCACAAGACATGGCAAGTCCTGTCTTGAGCAGGGATTCTTTACCAGCTAAAAGACTGTTTATGGGGGTTAGCTTTAAATACTGCCTGAAGTGCTTGTACCTGAACCGTCTTGCTGGGCAGGTCAGGTACAGCCAGTGCCTCTTTTAACTCGTAGCTTGTCTCAGAGTCAAGGCAAAGCAGTGGAAACTCAGGATTGCTTTTCTTCTGCCGGACTAATACATTAACTTTGCTAGAAACTCTGCCTCTGAAGGAAGAAGGGATATAGACTACAGTAAAGAGGAAACTGGCTAACAAATTCCCCAAACAATTGGCAATTACTTCTGAAGCACAGGGGAAAGCTGGATCGTACTTGGATGGAGAGGGAAGTGGAAAAACAAGCAAATTATCCCATCCTCGAGAAAGGACAAAAGGTGGTAAAAAAGCACCCATAGTAAATCCTGGCCTATCCAGGATAATCTAAGGTTGTGCAAGGAGACAGCCACTACAGCTCTTCAACAGAACGGCTTCCGAAGCAATTTAGGAAATACCTTTTTGCACAAACCTGCCCTCCCCGAAGTAAATCCTGTTTAACAACTGGACCGAACAGAACCGCTGGCGGAGCTCTCAGCTGAGGGGGAACGACTCAGTGCAGCCTACTCAGAGGACACCTCTAAATTACGATTATTTGCAAAAGAACCAGCAGAGTTTGTTCCCTGTTCCTGGCGAAATATCAATACAGGTAACCACACTTCTCCAACTTGAAATGCGTTTGCAGTTGTCTGACTGGTGTGTCCCTTCCCACCTTCATCCCTGGTGTAGTAACGCTGCTAACCGTTACACAGCGGGTACTTGCTGCACCTGAGCTTAAGCAAAATAACTTAATTTCAGAGCTGCCGTTAAGGATGAAGCTCTGTAAAAGGATTCAGGCTTGCAAAAAGAGCTGCTATTTACAAACAGCTGATACCATTTAAGGGAGCTGTATCACAAATATGATGCACTGTCTGAATTGGACCGGAAGGTAGAAATCGGTCAGAGATATTTTTATTTCAAATACCAGCAGTGCAGGACATGACATCATCCTGTCTGGTTCGTACAGCGTTGTAAAGCAAGGCCACATTCCACCCCCTCAGATCACAGACCCAAAGACTCTCGTCTTTTAAGCCAGAACATGAGAACCAGGAGTTTTCCCCTGAAGCAGAAGCTTTCCAAGGTCTCCACATCCCTATAGCAAGACTCTTGCTCCAAGAGGGAAGCACAGCAACCTCTCCAGATGAACGATGACTCTGAACCACAGGATTAGGTGTAAGACAGGATGTTTCATCACATTCAAAGCAGGCACAGCCCTTCAAGGAGAGCTGAATGAAGAAAAGAGGTTCAACAAGCCTATCACAGCTGATTTGGATGGCCAATGAGTACTTTGCCACAGCAGCCAAATCTTTAGGTCTAACAAAACAAAGCTCACGAGTTTTGCTAAAGTGTTTCAATATGAGAAGTTACAACAGACTCATACACGGGTTCCTACTACAGGATCTCCTGATTTCATTAAGCAACCACTGAGGGCAACTGACATTAAGTAATTAGTTTTGTAACTCAAATGTTGCAAGTTTACTGACACCCTTCCTCAAGTTACAAGAGCCAGAAACAAGGAAGCTCACCAAAACACGAATTATATCACTTGGTGGTAACTCCAGCTACCACTCTTGGTGCAAAGGTCCTACATCAAGAGTTTGTCACCTGCAGCTGCCCGGGGAAAACGTTGTCGGCAGGAACATCTCCAGGACTTCTGGACTGCAACATCAAATCACAGAACCACAGAATGGTTTGGGTTGGAAGGGACTTTACAGATCATCCAGTCCAACCCCTGCCGTGGGCAGGGACACCTCTCAGCAACCTATAATTAGAATGGCATTTTCCTCAAAACCTTGGCATTAACCAAACCTTTCGGAGGCCAGTCATCCTCCCAGCTGTGGATCACACAGCTGTGAGAAACAGCCTTTGAAAAATGACAAGATATTTTCATTTTACCTCTAACGCAGCTTGTCATTGGCTCGCACTATTGCTAAAGCACCTGAGTCCACAGGATAGCACTCAGCTGCACTCCATGCCACTTAATGTACAGTTTAAGCTGTCAGAGCCATCACAAATAGAAACGGTGGTACATTTCCCCAAGTCTTGAGTCTTTCAATCAAGATTCAGCACCCTTCTGAAGGAGTACAGCCATTTGTTTCCACAGAAGAATACAGTGACGTTGTACGGCTTAGGCTGTTGCACCACCAAACCCTGCACAACACCAGACGATACCAAATCTGGCACCGACCACCTGTGGCATCTACAATGCTACTGCTACATCCCACACAGCGCTGCTGTTCTTTACTCTGACGCCCCTCTGCCGTACTTCCACACGGAGCTGAGGTAGTGCTATTTGCTTAGCATGTCTGCCCCAGCATGGGAAAGGGTCAGAAATGAGTCCAGAGTGGTCACCTCCACCCGCTGGTACTGCTCCTCCACCCAGAGAGTAACAGAGCCGAACTGCTCTGCATCGGAAATCAGCGGGAGGGTTTTGGAGTAAGAGGAAAGAGAGAGAGGAAGAGAGGCCAATGCACTGGAGCTGTAAGGAGCAGCTTGTGAAACCATTTTATGCTGCCAGCTTCATTATGAGATGAAATTTCCTAGTAATATATCCTAAATTCTTCAGTGAACTCAGATCAGCTTGGAAACCAGAGCTGATAGACAAGAGGGAGGACAGACACACTCTGCTCCAGCCGCAGCTCTTTCTCTCCATCAGCTCATCGAGGAGATTTCAGTGATCATATGAGAAGAGAAAGAAAATCTACAATAAAAAGATTCAAACGACACGGCCATTGTTATCCAGAGACCGGATTAGGCATTTGAAACTCTCACCAGAATCACTCCAGATTCAGAGGCTGAGTGACAACAGCAATTGGCCAAAAAAGCCAAACTGGTATTCATCAGACACCTGCCCCCCTTCCCCAAATTCCAGAACAACAGAACCTACCTGCTTCTGGGTCTGGAGGAATCCTCCACATATACAAGTTGAAGTCATCAGAGCGGAGATTTCGGTGATCATACGAGAAGAGAAAGAAAATCTAAAATAAAAGATTCAAATGACACGGCCATTGTTATCCAGAGACCGGATTAGGCATTTGAAACTCTCACCAGAATCACTCCAGATTCAGAGGCTGAGTGACAACAGCAATTGGCCAAAAAAGCCAAACTGGTATTCATCAGACACCTGCCCCCCTTCCCCAAATTCCAGAACAACAGAACCTACCTGCTTCTGGGTCTGGAGGAATCCTCCACATATACAAGTTGAAGTCATCAGAGCCCGAAAGGATGTACTGTTGGAAATAGAAATAAAAGCAGTTTACTACAAAATATCACCTGAATTATGTTGTTTATTGTTGATCCAAACCGAAAATTAGAAAAAACCAAACATTTGTATCATTCTTTGCACCTCACTGATCAACTTACCCTTCAATGGGGATGAGGTACCAGCACAAAAAGGTTGCATGCAGATAAACGGACCAAAATTCAACCCATGCTTCGTGTACCTAATGCCTACTGCACGAAGCGTATGCTTTCTTTGCTATATAGGGCTATGGGTTTGGGTTGGCTTTAATACAAGTGTGTCCAGATCAAACTCTTGTATCTAGCAGCCTGCAACTCCGGTCTTTTTTTAATGACAAAGTCTTTCATCTTTTTTTCTCATCTCCCGAACCGCCGAGGAAAACGCCATCAGACACAGGCTGAGGAGAGCCAGCACGGCTGTTACACACAGGCACAGCACGTCTGGCCCACCAGCCCACTGAGAATCTCGAGCACTGAACAAAACCAAAGCCAAACAGTCACTGTCAGCAAATCTCAAGCAGTTTAAAACCCGCATTTATCATACCAGTCATTGTTTTCCTGGTTATAGCTCCTCTGAAGAGACGGAAGGCTGCCCTTTTTCAGCAGTGCATGAACGATAAGCAATCTCTTCACCGTACAGAAGTTTAGGCAATGTGCAATTTGAAGTGGCTTAATATACTGCAAACATGCACTGGGATGACGGGTGACATTTGATGTGGTAAAAACCACAAACTGTGCCTTGACTCCAAGTATCTCTTCTCCAGTAAACTGCATTCCCTGTCATTTATTTCTCTGCCAATTAGCACTGAGATGAGATGAGACACAGTGGAACCAAGGGCATATCCAATCCCAGTTATACCAGTGTAGACACTGTAAATCTCTAGCCCTCAACTGACTTAGGACTTGACTGGATGGATTGATAAGAAGCTGGGGTTTTAATTTTATTTTTCTTATTATTATTGGGGAAGAGGGGGGGAAGGGGGGGGGGAGAAAGAAATTAGGCCAGTTTGTCCCTTTTCTAACCTCTGATAGGAGACAAATTCTGTTTTCTTTGGCTCAAATATAACTGGCTTCTGTCACTCTCCAAGGATGCATAAACTCATCAGGCAAAGTAACACCAAGCAGTGAGGACACAAGTCCTGTAATAGCACAGGACTGAGAAACAAACAACAAAAATACACTAACACGGAGAAAACTGCTGTAGATTTGCATAAATTCTGCTCGCAATGCTAATTATGTTTGTGCAGTGTTCGTGCAGCCACAAAAATGCAATAATCAGCCGCTAAAATCCTCTCTCTGGTTTCCCACTACCACGACCCAACCATTCTTTTTTTCTCTTATTTTGAAGGATGTAGGATGTGAGTAAGCACTTACGAATGCAATTCTGCTCGTTTTCTGATGGCTAAGAAGTACTGATCAAACAAAAGTGCCTTTAAAAACCTGTGTGCGCTAGTTCTGCATCACTCAGAGCCCTCCTTTCCGAGCCAAAAAGTCATTTCTACAAGCCAACATGTTCAAGCACTCAGGCAGCTTCACCTCTGCCAAACTGACCTGGCGCTGCCAGGAACAGACATTGCCCTTTCGTTTCCCTGCCCGTCAATGCCAGCCCACAGCAGGCTGAGCCCTGCCAGAACGACACAGGTTAGGGGTCACATAGGCAACACCTCCCAGCAATCGGAAAGAAAGCACCTCCAATGTGTTTTGTTACAGAGAAACGCTACATGTTAAAAAAAGGCTTGTTTGAAGTTATAAAGGTGTTGCCACTTGTTCATATTGGTACTAAATTGTGTGCTTGAAGCAGCAACTGGTTTGGCTAGGAGCTGGGGGGGAAATGTTGGCATCCAAAACAGCTGGAGAGCTTGGTATCTTGAATTTGTGACCATAACACACACAAACATACACCCCCTTCTTTTTTCTTTTAAGCAGCAAGCAAGTTCTAACAACTCAACATAAGAGTCATTTAGCACTTACATCATAAAACAAACAAACCTACCAGCATCAGCTCCCAGAGGCACATTTCAGATACCCAGCACACAACACAAAAAACACGTCACATACATGCAGGTAGAAGTGTCTGTGAGCCTCTTCAAACTGCTTTGCAGAGGAACACTGTCTATGCTGTATCAAGAGCCAGCTGCCTAGGAGACCTGGTGTACTGCTCCCCACCGAACAAGCAGCACGGTCTGTCTTGCTCTGGAGACAGCACGATTCAGTGCCCTTGCAGCAATGTGGACTAATGGCAACTTGTCTGCACTATCCAGAGCATAACCAGGTCCGGTCTGGATCCCCCGATACAAGAGCGACACTGACAAATTGAGTTGAATGGAAGAGGGTTGCTGGGGCTGAAGGTTCATGACCTGTGAGGAAAAGCCAAAGGTGCTGTTTAGGCAGAAGAGAACGTGAGGGGACAGAGTCGACCTCTACAATCTTCCACTGCCCGAAGGGATACGGAGCAGCCGGGGACAGGCTCCTCTCAGAGCAGGCAGTGGATGTTCAGGAAGGAACAGTCACAAGTCACAGCAAGGGAAATCCCAGCAGGGACAGCGTGTTCTGGAGGAACGTGACGAACACTGCGACTCGGCCCCAGGAAGGCGGTGGGATCTCCACCTTTGCAGATCCAAAATTTACCTGGGCGATTCCCTGAGCAACCTGATCTGACTTTGAAGACGCTCCGCTCTGAGAAGCAGCTTAAGTCAGATGGCCTCAAGAGCTCAATTTTTTCAGGCTACCGAAGTAAAAAGGGAAATAATTGCCTTGGTGGACCGGGGTTGAGGGGAGAGGAGGGCAGTGTCAGGAAAACACCCACCTGAAACCTTCACACTCCATCACACACCACAGCTTCATGGAAACTCCAAACTTGGGCCTCACAGACAGAGTCATAAGCTGCAGATCAGTACATGGACTTTCATAAATTCAGGTGGTCACAATTTGGGAATTCTAAAGAAAAATTGGCAGAGTATCTTAAAGTAGCTCACCGAATCACAGAAAGGCTGGGGCTGGAAGGGACCTGGTCCAACCCCCCCACTGAAGCAGAGTCACCTGGAGCTGACTGCCCAGGACCACGTCAAGACGGTGTTTGAGCATCTCCAGTGGCAGGCAAAGACACAACCCAGCTATCTCCAACTGAGACAGTCCCTACCTTCTGGAAAGCACCACAAAGTCCTTTGCTCCATTACCATTTTCCAGCCTAATGACATTTGCACCAAACCAAATACACTTGGCCAAAGTATCCTGGAGTGCATTAAGAGAAAAGTAAGTGGGAACGAATAAAGCATCTGCACTGCAATTTATGCCTAGTCACAGTGTGAGCTGTACTGAAGAAGTGCTTATGGGTTTTATCTTGCAACTGAGACAACTGTCAGTAAGTATCAAAGGCGTTAATCAGTAAAGTTATCTCCACAAGTTTAACGTTGTAAGCGACGGGCTGCAAGTTGCAAACTTTCTATAAATTCCATTTGTATTTCAACAGTTAGCTCTGATATTTAACAGAAATAGATCATATACACAAAGTGTCCAACTATTTGGTGTATCTGCCATTCCACTGCCACCACTGTAGCAGCCAGCAGTTTTCCACCCTCTCCCTGACAGGATACCTCTGGGGCACGTGTTTTACTGCTGTTCTCACAACCTAGAATTGAATCCCCAAATGCATTCCTTTTGTCCTCTTCAGTAAGGCCAGGTCTGAGAAGTCGAACGTGGCTTTGCAGTGCTGCCAGCAGCACTTCACGACTGCAGCTATTGCAAGAACGACGTGCCAGCTTCAAGAGCAGACACCCGAGATGCTAAAGCCAGAAACACGGCTCTTCCATGACATTTGAAGAAGAAACTCTGTTCCAATTAGCACTGTGCTCTCTGCACAAGACAATGGGAACCCAAGGCCTCTGGAGAGCACAGCTGGGCTAATGTTACTATGACACTTACACGATCATCTGTGAGCAGTTTTCTTTGACGCATTCATTATCAGTATAAACAATAAGCCAATAGTTTTCCACACCAGTTGAAAGTTGGAGAATAAGCATTGAGAAAATGCAAAAGTCAGGTCCGTACTACCAGGAGATTCAAAGAAATATGCAGTGCACCAAGCCCTTGTTAATAAGGGTGAAATCCTGAGGGAATGGAGTAGACTTTTGAAAGGAAGGAACAGGAAGAAGACAGAAGGGCTTGGGGTGGGGTAGATGCAAGAATGTTGTGCTGCACATGATTAGACTCCATTTTCATTGTGGCCAAGGATTTTTTGGTCCTCAGAGGACATGTAAAACGTAATTCCTAGCAGAGTACCTTCTACTGACTCACCTTAAGAGCAAAAGCCCAGATAATCAAATCAGAGGCACGCCAGTGAGAGGCAAAGCCGTGTGCTCTCCCTCCTCCTGCCCACCCCCGAAATACAAACTCCAAGCAGAACTCAACCTCCAGAAGCAGTGCAGAGCCCAGTCCTGAGCCAGCCCAGACACTGCACCAGGAGCTCTGAGCACGGCAGCTCAATGTCTGGGGGGAAGAGACCAATATTAAAACCACCTGTTTCATTGTCTGCGTTTTTGCTGCTGTATCTGACCGGGATTTCAGACACCGCCGTTCACAACACTCGCACGAAGACGCAATGAGACAGAAAAGCCGTTGGTAATAATTAATACTGGAGGGGTTTTTTTTTGAAGGGGAGAATCGGCTTCTATGTCTGGCTGTTAGCAACAACGACAGGAAAAGGCTTCCAGATGACTGCAAGCTGCTGATTCAGAAGGTTGCCTTAGAAGGAAGAAAACTCTCAGGCGTGGTTAGAGTCTGTTGCTGGAGGAAACACAAACTCAGTCTGAGCTTCCAGCACGCATAAAATGCTTAAAATGAAACATCATCAGGAATCTGGCAGAGTTACTCTGGACTAGTGCTCCCCACTCATTCCACTGTAACTCTCCTCATTTTCTCTCTCCCCGAGGAAATTACAGCAGTTGATATAAATAAATGGAGATCTAATCTGCTGCTGCTACGGTCTCATAAC